TCGACTGCACATCCCTAATGAGAATGTCCAGTTCCACTACATCCCAAAGGTGCTCTATGGGATTGAGAGCTGGTGACTGTGGAAGACATTTGAGTTCAGTGAACTCATTGTCATGTTCAAGAAACCAGTCTGAAATGATTTGCACTTTATGACACGGTGTGTTACCCTGCTGGTAGTCATCAGAAGATGGGTACACTGTGGTCATAAAGGTATGGACAGGGTCAGCAACAATACTCAGGTAGGCTATGTTGTTGACACAATGCTTAATTGGTACTAATGGGCTCAAAGTGTGTCAAGAAAATATCCCCCACAGCATTACAGCACCACCACCAGCCTGAACCATTGATAAAAGGCAGGATGGATTAATGCTTTCATGTTGTTGACGCCAAATTCTGACCCTACCATCTGAATGTTGCAGCAGAAATCGAGACTCATCAGACCAGGCAACCTTTTCCAATCTTCTATTGTCCAATTTTGGTGAACCTGTGCGAATTCTAGCCTCTGTTTCCTGTTGTTAGCTGACAGGAGTAGCACCAGGTGTGTTCTTTTGCTGCTGTAGTCCAACTGCCTCAAGGTTGGACGTGTTGTGTATTCAGAGAGGCTCTTCTGCATAACTCGGTGGTAACGGTTATTTGAGTTACTGTTGCCTTTCTATCAGCTTGAACCATTCTGGCCATTCTCCTCTAAAATGTGGCATCAACAAGGCATTTGCGTGTACCGAACTGCCGCTCACTGGATGTTTTTTTCTCTTTCAGACCATTCTCTGTAAAGCCTAGAGATGGTTGTGCATGAAAACCCTAGTAAATCAGCAGTTTCTGAAATACTCAGACCAGCCTGTCTGGCACCAACAACTACCGCACATTTACCGCACACTTTCTTTCCCATTCTGATGCTCTTTTTAAAATGCAGCAGATCGTCTTGACCATGTCAACTCACCTAAATGCATTGAGTTGCTGCCTTGTGGTTAGCTGATTAAAATTTTGCATTAATGAGTAGTTGGACAGGTGTACCTAATAAAGTGGCTGGTGATTGTAGTGTACTAACTAGTAGTAAAGAAAGATATATTCATGCTGGTATATTTGATCCACTTTAACAGATGTGGTTACAGATAGATTTGAAAGTTAAAAAATTTGTTTAAATATAAAAAGCAACATTGCCAGAGATGAGTTGCTGCTGGAAGGGCATCTGCTGCGTAAAAACGTGCTGATAACTTAGCAGTTTATTCTGCTGTGGCGACCCCGGATTAATAAAGGCACTAAGCCGAAAAGAAAATTAATGAATGAATAAAAGCAACAAAGCAAAAAAGCATGGATTAAAGCTGAGAAATAAATACTGTCAACCTGGGAGTCCACATACTGTAACTGACATGCTTTAGTTTATGTACACTGAACAGTCAAGCAGAGAAACATTACTGTTTATGACTAACTGGAAATTGTCATTTGAGCAATCAAAGTTTTGATGCATCTTGAAAATTCAAGTTGAATGATGTGTGTTCTGTGTTAAATAGTCCTCCCATCAGTTACAGATGTCAATTTGTGTTTAGCATATTTAAAATATATTTGCATATTGGTGTATAAAGTCATTGGTTGTCTCCTTGTTTTTGTTTTTAGGGGAAATCTCTGATATCCAAGAGGCCACCTGCTGTCGTCCAATCTTGCTGAGCCTCAAACAATCCACTGAGGATGAGGACGCCGTCATCTTCATCTCTGTCGTCTGATTGGTCCAGCTCCCAGATTCCCTGGACAACGGACCAAATCACATGCATGTCCAAGAGGCTGAGTTTTTAAATCAGTTTCTACTTGCTACTTGCTAGTTTCAGTCTTTAAGACAGTTAGACTTGGACTTCTACTATCTGGGAAATGCAGCAACGTCTTTCAAAAGAGGAAAACGATATTCTCCTCTCCTCTTCTGTCTGTCAGGACTGTCTCCAAATGTAGACTGATCAAATGATGTCAAAACCAGAAAATTTAAAGTCATAAAAAAAATCACAGTTAAATATAACAGCGTAGGCACATTGTGTAAAATCGAGAAGCTTTAGACAGAGATGATCTCTTCCTACTCACCTTTCATCTCTTTTTTGCATTGATTTTATTGCACTATAAAGGATCTAGCACACGTTTGCTTATCGCACATGTGAAGTCGCATGGGATATATCTGAAAGCGACTGGTCTTGCAATCTGTCTCGTTGTTTCTTCTTCGTTGGCTCCCTCCGTTTATTTTTTTATACCATGTGTAAACACTTTTACTTGAAAATGTATTAAAGTCGGTCCTTTATCTGAAAGTCATGCGCTGATTTGTCCTTCACTGCACAGTTGATAATGACTACTGTAGTTAGAGCTGTCAAGCAGCAGCAGAGCATTTACTCTGACAGATTAGCGCCAATGGACTCGCAAAGGAAAACAGGTTTGTGTTCAGACGGCATCATGTGCTCATCCTATCGACACATCAATAAAAATCTAAATATGTTTTTTGAATTCTGTGACATAAAGAAAGATGAGCAAGTTTCTAAATATCTCCTCGTAAATGTTTTCAGCTATGACCATCAAACTTAAGTCTAAACCTGTATGATTAGTCTTTTTTTAACCTCTTTAACTATCAAACACATTTTTAAGCATAAATGTGAGATTGACATGTTCAACAAAAAGTAAAAAAATAAAAATTAAAAATTCAATTCAATTAAAACAAAAAAAGTTATGTACATTACATTTTTTTTAAAAAGTGACACATTCATTTGTTTTTTTCCCTTCATTTTAGTCCCTGATTTATCAGGGGTCACCACAGCGAAATAAACCACTACTACTCCAGCATATGTATTATGTAGAAGATGCCCTACCAGCTGCAACCCATTTATGTGAAACACCTATACACACATACACTATGGCCAGTTTAGTTTATTCCATTCACCCATACCGCATGTCTTTGGACTGTGGGGAAACCGGTACCTCAGACTGGAGCACCTGGAGAAAATTCATGCATACACGAGGTGAACATGCACACAGAAATGCCAGCTGGCCCAGCCAGGGTTCAAGCCAGCGACCTTCTTGCTGTGAGGCGACAATGCTAACCTCTGAGCCACCTAATGTGAAACAATAAATGTATATTTTAATGTTTTATCGTATATATGTATTTTACAAAACAAGTTTTACTTCATGGTGATTCATTTCATTGTGGCGACAAAAAAAAAATGCATGAATGAGTGTTTACATTAAAATTGACAGCAAATCTGAGCAAAATATTTGAACAAATTGCGTTCCAAATTTGAAGTTGATATCTCAAAAAATAGCTTTTATTGAGGTTTTGTGTGGGCGCAGTACCAAACCTCAGCACCAGATGACATCCAGCTTTCCATATAAGGGCGCTCCAATTTCTGTGTATTGCTTAAGTGATATGAATCTGATTTTTCATACTTTTTACAATATTTGTAAAATAGACATCAGATTCTAAAGTAGCATGGGCATCTCAGCTAAGGTTAGCTATTTAGACTAGGTTAGGCTAGGTTAGGTTAGCTAATTAGATTGATGGTTTATGTAAACTGGACAGTCAAATGAACAGAAAAACATGAATTAGTGGGGGTGTAAAACTTTCACAACAGCAATTTAAGTGGTTATTTTTAGTATTTAACCAACTGTACATCCACCAAGTGCTAAACTTTCATCTGTGGCAAACTGTTACTATCACTAGCAATAGTAACTAGTCTTTGAGACTTAAAGTTGTTAGTAACATCGTAAAACATCTAAACGTGCTAAAACATGTTTACATTCATTTTCTTGTCGACTTAGTCCCTTTATTAATCCGGGGTCGCCACAGCGGAATGAACCGCCAACTTATCCAGCACATTTTTACGCAGCGGATGCCCTTCCAGCCGCAACTCATCTCTGGGAAACATCCACACACACATTCACACACACTATGGACAATTTAGCTTACCCAATTCACCTGTACCGCATGTCTTTGGACTGTGGGGGAAAACGGAGCACCCGAGGAAATCCACACGAATGCAGGGAGAACATACAAACTCCACACAGAAACGCCAACTGAGCCGAGGATCGAACCAGCGACCTTCTTGCTGTGAGGCAACAGCACTACCTACTGCGCCACTGTTTCACCCCTGGTTAACATTCAAGCAACGTTAATTCATGCTAGCATTGTGTTAAATGTGAACACCATCTTAATCGAAATTGAATAGTGACCATGATAAACATGTTAGCAACATGCTAGCATTGTAGTAAACATGACAGCAGGATGCGAATTTACGCTGCTGTAGTATTAAATCACCAAATGCCAGAAATAAGCAAATTCATGCTAGCAGTGTGTTAAATAATGACAGCTATGTATTAAACAAACAGGTAACATACTAAGGACAAGACAGACTTATGTAATAATAATGTGCTAGCAACATGTTAAAACATGGTAGAAACATGTTCGCAATATCCTAATTTGTTAGCATATTGATACAACAGCATTTCCCCCTTCACCCTAAGCTTTCAACATTCAGGTGAGGTTTTACATTAGTCATATGAAATAATCAAACATATTTTTACAATTATAATAAAATAAAAAAAAATCTGAACAAATAATTGACAATCTTGTATTTATTTTACGGTTTGTTAGTTAGTTTGTTTCAAGGTATTTTAAATAACATTTGGTATATTTACAGAATGATTAGCCTACTGCATAACAATTTACATTAACTTTTTATAATTATGTGTCACGATGGCGCAGTGGGAAGCATGATCGCCTTACAGCAAGAAGGTTGCTGGTTTAAGCCTTGGCTGGGTCAGTCGACATTTCTGTGTGGATATTGCATGTTCTCCACGTGTTCGCGTGGGTTTCCTCCTGGTGGTCCGGTTTCCCTACAGTCCAAAGACTTGTGCTATAGGTTAACTGAAAAGAGAGTGCATGGGTATTTCCCAGTGTTGGGTTGCAGTTGGAAGGGCATCTACTGGGTAAGACATGTGCTGGATAAGTTGGCGTGAAAAGTCATGAAAATTAATAAAAGAATGAATTTTATTACTATTTTTAATGAAAAACAAAATACAAATGTCAATTGAATTTAAACATGTTGCTTAGATTTAGTCTATCTGTAAACTTCAATGCTTAAGCAGACTGCCATTGCGTTTTCTACCACTAGAGGGCAATGACTCCATCCACCAGGTTCTGTGTGAATTTGATTATTTGGTCAGTCTGGTGAGAACAGCTCTAAATCTTGAGGTCCAGACCAACTCATCCAACACTAACAGTCGGCTCTGAACCAGAACCATCTAGATTACTGCTATCAATACAATTTAACATGACATCTGAGTACTTTAGTTTCTTCACTTTAAACCAAAACATGTTTATATGTGTGTCTGCTCAGTGTGTAAGATTTCTTTTTGGGTGTTTTCAAGTTCTCCACACAAGTTTGTCTGCGTGTGCATTTGAGAGAGAAAAAAAGGAAAGGAACAAGAGAGGGATGTTATTCTTATTGTGGTCGAATGGAGATGAGTTCAAAACCACAAAAACAACAGAATGGGAGAACCAACGACTGAATAAGCAAAGAAAACAAAAGGAGAATAGTCAGTAATGTGCAACATCCCAAGCCAAATGAAGATTTATGGGGGCACAAAATTTCATGATAAACTGTGGAGTGAAAGATTAATGATTTAGCATCTGAAGGCTTTTGTCTTTTTAAGGCCACATAACACATCTGCTTTGTCTTGCCTTGATGTGCTGTCAAAACTTGTTTATAAAACCATTTTGCATTTGGAAAGACACTTGAGGAAAAGCCTTCAGGCGGGACCTCAATAAAGCCACAGTGAAAATGTCCAAAATGTTCCAGAAACACGAGCCCACACATTTTGGATTAAACCAAGATGAATTTAAGGAGATCAAACCCATCGATGTGTTTTCTATATTTACAGAAGAACTTCTGACACTGTGGGCATGTTATCTGCAGCAGTCAAGACGGACGGGGTTAAAACAGGGATGCAAACTCATGTGTGCTACACTTCAGAGAGAGACAGAGAGTGAGAGAGAGAGAGAGAGAGAGAGAGAGAATATGTTTTCAGGACTGGTTGATTAACAGTGGGCATTTGGGGGAGGTATCAGACCAAAAGAGAGGGAGGGAAGCAGAAAGAGAGAGAGAGAGGTGTAGATGAATCTTTCTGTTACTTGTGTGCAACTGATGATTTTCTTCCTACTTTCTTCACACTCACACACTTCTCTTTGGAGAGCCAGTGGGATGTGACAGTAAATCAGAGAGATGATGATTCAAAGACTCACCGGGAAGCACTCAGTGAAACAGAACGCGAGCTGGATGCAACATAAATGAGTGAAACTTGGGAGCTATGAGCCATAAAGCATGACCGCTTGAGTTTGGCCTCCGCAGAGCTGTGGACTCGAACAGGAAAGGCGCACGGCATCATCTTCAGGAGCGCTTCAACAAACATCCCGTACTTCTGATGGATTTCCACACTGCCTCTGTACATCTGGAGCTCTGAGCCTCGTCGATCTCTGACCTGCTGCTTGACCTTTGACCTCTGAGTGACCTCTTCAGGAATCACAGCAAGAAAAAAACTCCAGGTCCAGATCTGCAGGTAAATTCCAAGAAAAGAGACATGTTATTAACTCTATTTAGAATCTAAAAAATAAAGCACCTTTTAATTAATGAAGACTATTTCGATGGTCCTTAATGCACATTCTGTTGACTGAAAGGTGCATAGCAATTACTTCTCGTTTGAGTATTCGTAGACTTTCTGCTTAATATCTGTTGATCCTGCTTCTTCAACACATTTAACCGACTATAAGAAACTTTGCAAGTGCATGTCAACTTACACTAACCCTTACCCCAACCTAGCAGTCTACTTATAATCTAATGAGAATTAATTGGCATCTAGATGCAATGTAATTTAAAGTCAACAAAATGCCTTGAAGAGACATAATAAAGTGATCCCCAATATATAAAAAGAAAATACAAAATGTTCTTGGTTCCTCAAATAAATGTTCAGTGTCCAGTTTTTAAAGAACCATGTTTATATTTGTTCTTACAGTATCATTTTGCATCTTTGTAAGAACATTTAGTAATCTAAAGGAAGTTTAGCGGAATGGAAAGGTTCCATACAGTAGATAATAAAAGTTCTTTGTGAAACCATTATCGCCAAAAAAAATATTTTTAAAGTGTAAAGAACTTTTGGTGCAATACACTGTAAAAAAAATAAAAAAAAATAAAAAAAAGTTGGGTTCCACACAATATTTTTGTATTGGCACAACTTAAAGGAATTAAGTTAACTTATTAGTTTAGTTATTAGTTTTTTTTTTTTATTTGAGTAGAATAAACAAAACAATTATACTGTCCACCCCAAAAACTCAAGAATTGTGTTATTTCTACTAATTTTAAATAAGTACAAGCACCAAATGTTATTTTTTTGAGTGTTTACTGCACTGTAAAAAGTGATTAGTTACTAAAGCGAGTAAACTACCTTAAAAGCAACAAGTTGACTATACAAAAATAAGGCAAGTAAACCTTTTGTAACTTGGAACTGTTAAGTTGGCTTGATTTGTAAATTATGCTAATTGTAGTCATTTAAAAAATAAAAATAAAATAATCACCTTTTTCAATACACCTTCATCATATTAGTTTTTTTCCTCCAGCTTTCTGTATCTTGCAAAATGACATAAAGTAACATAAATCTGCTCTTCCAGAATCCAGTATGTCTTCTAAATTCCATACAGGCTATAATTATAGATTTTATAGACTTAATGAAGCTATGAATGAATGAAAATATAATATTGTAATATTTACAGTATTTTTTTTTTGAAAATGGACTTGCTAAAATAGTCTAACACTATAAAAAGGGATTAGTTGATTTTTAAGTAAGTGAGTACAATTTGCATAATTAAAAAAATCAAGTCAACTTAACAGTTTCAAGTTACAATGAGCTAACTTGCATTATTTTTTTAAAGTCAACTTGTTGCTTTTAAGGCAATTGGTTTCTGGGTTCCACACAATCTATTTGTGTTGAAAACCACAAATAAATTAACTTTTTAGTTTTTACAAACTTGAGTTTTAACATAAAACAATTAAATTGTCCATAAAAGCATTGAGAATTGTGTTGTTTCAGCTAATTTTATATAAGTAGTTTGAAATAACTGCAAGTAATTTTTTTTATTGTTGTTAAGGTTCTTTATGTAATCACATATTCAGATTTTATGTTTGAAGTCTTTAGATTTTTTAAATAATGGATTGTTTTACTTATTTCATCACTCTCGAAAATATTTTTATTATTGGCATCTAGTGTTTTTGAAGAACATTTAACACCTAGAACATTTCCTCAGCATGCAATTATACATACTAAAAAAAAGGAAACATTGTTTTTCATTTTTTGGTTTATTATATTGGCACCTGCAAAATTACATTTTAGGGTTCTCCAAGGACTATTCAGTTACATTGTATTTTAAACAACCTTATTTTTCTTATATATATATATATATATATATATATATATATATATATATATATATATATATATATATATATATATATATATATATATATATATATAAATATATATATGTATAATATATATATATATAGATTTAAAATGACATAGATTTTAGATTCTTAGTCTAAGAGGATTCTGTCACTGTAGCAAGCAAAATAAAGAGTTTCACAACCATTTCCTGCTCTAAATCAATTACTGATGTTGTGTTATTTTATAATAAAACTGATAATATATCGAAACTGCTAGTGTTTATAATATTATAATATAAAAATAGTGTATATAATATGTAATATATTGAGAGACAGAGAGTGAACGTGAATGTTTGATGATGGGGAAGTTTGCATAAGAAAACGTGTGACAGTACTGGCTTCAGTCCAGCTCAGGCATGATTGGCATTATAAAGGAGGGCATGGAAAAGGATCAGCCGCGACTCAGTTCAAAGTGGTGACTGCCCCTCAGAGCGCATTAAACCGAGCGGATTTGAGTCTGACAGCCTTTGAGTTTCCCAGTGACCTTCTAATTCCCCAGCGCCATTACTACTGTAGCAAGACTGATGGCAATGCAAGTGGCTGTTATTAAGAGCTAGAGCACAGTTATAATTATGATTAGCATAGGGTATGGTTACGGTTATATGCTAGGGGAGGTTTATGTTTCGATTGGGGTTGGTTAGGAATCATTTGCTGTAATTATCATACATTAACTGCTGTAGATGTGAAACTGGAAATGCTTGTGAAAGACACACTCGACTGCATGTGTATTTGAAGGAGTTGAAGTCAGACTCAGAGTGACGACAGCCATCAGAGAATTCAGTCACTGATATGGTTGAACTGCTCAACCGCACTTTAAACCTCAGCTATGTATCGTAACATGAGTCTGACCTAACAGTTCGAAACCACAGATATTCCATCTCTGATCAAGATAGCCACACTCCACATGGTGAAAAATCACACCATACCTTTCCCTTACTCTGTGATTTAGATCAATTCTAGTTTAAATTTATTTAGAAACTTATGCGTGTCAGTTCTTGGCTTATAACAGTGTTAAATTATTTTTGATTCATGGTATTATCGGGATATTGACTAGCTGCTAAAAAGTTACTTTGACTGGTATAATGCTTAGTGCAAGGTCATCTGGGATGGAAAAGAAACAGTTCTTGCAGGACTCCCAGATTTCATCAAGATTATGTGGACTCATGTTCAATGCCTCCTCCATTTTACCCCAGACATGTTCAATAATGTTCATGTCTGGTGACAGGGCTGGCCAATCCTGGAGCACCTTGACCTTATAGATGTTTTTAAAAACAATTGAAACTGGGAATAATATTAGAAACAACTTTTGACAACTTGTCAGATCGTAGAGATTAATTCATTCTGCCTTATCTGTATAAGAACAAAAAATACTTCAATGTACTTTAATGTTGTAATACTACTGTATATTTATCAAATTTTATTCCATGAGAAACAGTCCAGTGTTAATGACTGCGAGGTTTTGTGTTTTTTTTTTTTTTTTTCAGTGATGGCTGGACATTTCATTTGTTGCTCAGTGGGTAGCACTTCCCAGTTTTTAATTTTTAATTTTTTTATTTTCTAATTTTGTCAAATGTTCTTGTGATTAATATGACAATATAAATGATATTCATTCATCCATTCATATATTGTCCTTCGGCTTAGTCCCTTAATTTCTCAGCGGTCGCCACAGCGGAATGAACCAAATATCGAGCATTTGTTTTAAGCAGCGGATGCTCTTTTAGCCACGACCCAGTACTGGGAAACACCAATACACGTTAACATTCACACACTTACACTATGGCCAATTTAGCTTATTTAATTCACCTACAGTATAGCGTATGTCTTTAGACTGAGGGGGAAACCGGAGCCCCTGGAGGAAACTCACACGAACATGGGAAGTAACTACACACAGAAACACCAACTGACCCAGCTGGGGACAGAACCAACAACCTTCTTGCTGTAACATGACAGTGCTAACCACTGAGCCACCGTGCCACCCCTTTATATATGATACAATATTGATGTTGCCCCAAAAAAGTTACTATAGCACGTATAATAATACATAGTGTAATGCTTCATTGTGGACTAGTTCAATATATTGTGTTAGTAAATATGTATAACTTTACAATTAGTAAATTGTAAGAATTAGCACTTTACTCAATAGTAAATGTTAGTTAATTGATTAATCAATTAGTCAACAGTAAGAAAAGGCCAGATTTATTACAGTTACAATTAATTACTAATTCCATCTAATAATATGATTATATGACTTGTAAGCAGATTACGACAATGATTTTAATCTGTCATTATACATTAACTGAGAAATTAATCACCTAAAAAAATAAAATGAATTTCATCAACATGTTAGTTAAATTACTAATGGAGCCCTACTGCAGTGTTAATGTACAATAACAGCCCTATAAATAGCCCTATAAATAGTGCTTTAGCTTTTGGTGATGGTCACTTGCCTCAAGTTTCAGGTGGTAATCTTCATGTTTTTTTGTTCAGCACTTCATGTTCTCAATGCAGAACACACATTCACATTCATACACTGTAATCTGTAATCTTTTTGGTGTGACTACATAAAGTACACTACCTGACAAAAGTCTTGTCGCCTATCCAAATTTCAGGAACAACAAATAATAACTTGACTTTTAGTTGATCATTTAGTATCAGAAGTGGCTAATGTGAAAGTCAAACGCCACTAGATCATGACTTGATTTTTAATTATTTTATTATGACAGTAAGGTCTGACTTAACTTAGCCAAAAAGTCCCGTCACTTAACAGAAATAATGTACAGTATAGAATATAAAGTCATGGTGCAGTGTGAAAAAAATTAATAATGTGTTTGACTCCCATGAGCTTGGAGGACTGCATCCATACATTGTTGCAATAACTCATTAATAAAGTCATCTAAAATGGCAAAGAAAGCGTTCTTGCAGGCCTCTCAGAGTTTAGCAAGATTCTTTGGATTCATCTTCAATGCCTCCTCCATCTTATTCCATACATGCTCAATAGTGTTTATTTCTGGTGACTGGGTTGACCAATCCTGGAGCATCTTGGCCTTCTTTGCTTACAGGAATTTT